TCTACATAGGCTGGCTTTGAACCCTGATCCTCAGATCTTAGTCTCTTGAGTAGGTAGGATTACAGGTGTGAGCCATTGGAACCCAGTTTAAAGTATTTTTAAGCATAATAAATACTGATTTTGTTATATAAAATCATTAAAGAAGGAAAAGTAGAATTTGAGCAAGCTAAGCTTTTAAATCTGTCTGATATTCTGTCTGGACAATCTGAAAAACAACTCAATTGGATCAAAAGGTCCTGTGTATTATGTATTACTTAACCTTTCACTGAACCTAAATAATAGCAAATATAGCACATTGCAGTACTAAACCATGGTGTCAGTCACTCAATATGTAGAGGTTACTATCTTTAACAGGAGCCTAGGTTTGGGTACTTTGAGTTACTTCTGCCCTACATTTAGGTAACGGTCGAACTTGAGTTTTGTTTTTGTCTCCAACTTATGTTCTTTTCTCTTTTGTGGAGGTAAATGAGTGCAAATACATAGATTTATATTAGAAGTTCACATATCTATATATATATATATGTACACTAATTCTAATTTTTTACTCAATTTTCAAAAGTTGTCATAACTTAGGTCTAGTGTGCTTTTAGATACTGTATAATAAACTTTCTATATTCTTTGTTTTCCTTTAGCTTCTTAGCAGAACTGGTTAAGTCAATAAAGTAAGCTAAACATGAAATTCATTGATAAACAACACAGTACTTTCTTGGTTGATATAAGCTGTGAGTCTCTCCCACAGAACATTCCCCCTTTCATTCTCCAGCATCTGTACTTCCCTACTTGGATATGTCTTCCTCCCACCAGCCTCCTCAGTGTCTGCCAAGGTCTTGCCTGGCATCTTATTAAATGTGAAAGATGAGGCTTCTCTTCTCAAGCCTGTTCTGTGGATTCAGTGAGTTGAAATGGTTTCCTTAGCTGTTACCCGCATCATATTAAAAGGGTCCTTTAAAAAAAATGATAGGAGAGCAAATAGAAAATTAAAAATTTAATATTACTCAGTCAGATATCAAGAATACCGTTCTAAGGTATGCTCCAGACTTAATTTCAGCATTTTTTGTATTAACTAGGATTTTAATCACTTGAATATCACCTTCATAGTTAATAAAATATTTTGAATATTGAGATTTTATAATATAAAGATGTACAAGTTCTTGGCCTAGTCTTTTCACTACTATAGTTTATTTTTTCTTTCTTTTCTTTCTTTAATTTTTTTATTTAATTGATTTATTTTATTTTCTTTTTTTCTCAAGGTAACGTACAGAGGGGTTACAGTTACACAAAGTAATAAGTACATTTCTTGTCAAACTTGTTGCCCCTTCCTAATGTCAGCATTTTTATTGTCATATAATGGACAGTCACTCATTATTTAATAAATACCTACTGTAGAAATGCTGATTTGCTACATCATAATTTATGTTGAAACCCCAAATATATGTTATACCACTGTGATTCCCCCCTTCATTTTCTAAATAATAAAGCAGTACATTCAATTCTAGGGAGTTGGCAAATTCTAAATGTCAGAGAAAGAAAGCATGAAACATTTGCTTTTAAAATAGAGAATTTTTGCGTTGGAAAGCATTTTACCCATGTGTGCAGTTATTGAAGTAAAATATTTGTACTTGGCTGACTTGTCTTGTCTAAATGTCACAGCTCAGACCTCTCTTTGGTTTGAGAAATAGGGGCTAAGTTGTTCTGATATAAAATAGGCAATTGGTCTTCAAGAAAATGTAGAGAATGTGTGTGGTGATTTCTAGATGGAATTGATGTTGTCTTTTTTGGTAATGAATGGAATTGAAAAGTTCAAAGCTAGTTAGTTAGAAGGATACCTATATCTTCATTTCTGACCTTTATGTCATCTTGTCTTTGGTTTTTAAAGATGTCCTTTGTGAGATTGTTGTATCTACTACAAGAGTGGCCATCTGACTAACGTTGACAAGAAGCTTTCTTGTATGACCTGGCTTACAGCTGGGCTCCATGAGCTGCCAGCTCCATTCAGTTACTCAACCCAAACCCTGTTTTGATGTTGATTTGTGGTCTTTGAAAGAGTGTTTTGTTTTTCCTTTCTCCCTAATTGTTTAAAACCTTAAGTCCCAAAATTCATTTGGTACAATTAGGTGTGTGTGTGTGTGTGTATCTATCTGTCTATCTATCTATCTATATATACACATCCATCCATATACATATATGTGTGTATGTAAATATGCATGTCTTTGTATGTAGCAAATACATATATCTCATAATTTGGTTATCATCATAAAGGATAGTATATAAGATCAGCTCTAATGTTTGCAAATTAATTTAAACTAAACTTGCGTGTTTTCATCTGTTAAATGAAGGGCTTAATGGATGGTTATTGTATCCTACTATTGTAAAGTCCTCAGGCTGAACTTAAATACAATTCAATTTAAAAAATAACCATATGAGATCTGAGATACTCACCCAGATCATTTTAACTTCTAGTAGAGAGCTTAAAGAATTTAGATGTTTACTCAATTAGTAGGATTAGAGAAAAAGGAGTTAGCACTTGTGCTTGCCAAGCACTTTATGTGTATTTTATTACTTAATCCTTTGAAGCAATCATAAGGTAGCAGCTATTTTACTGGTGGGAAATGGAGGATTAGAAAAGGTTATGTTATAATAGCTGCTAGGTGCTCCAAGACAATGGTAGCAGAGAAACTGTGTCTATTTTAGGTTTTGTCGGTTGTGGCTTCTTTTCTTCAGTGATTAGTCTCCAGACAGGATTATTTACTCTAGCATTTGAGGAAAAAAATGTTGATTTAGTATTTATGTCCTTTCTGGGTTATGGTCTTTCCCTTATTCTCCTGGACAATCTTTCCATTGTAGCCATAAACACATTTGGCTTTCTGTTGTGCTTATTTTCTGAAGGATACAAAGTATGCCTTAATTCTATTTAAATAATTAAATTGATAGTAAAATTTGTTAAATGTAATAGAGACATGAAATTCATGGCAGATAAAGTGATACTCTCAATTCATTATATATCTGCAGCTTGGTATAGTTCACAGTCAAGAATTTTAAGGTCTTGGGGCTGGGAAGGTGGCTCAGTGGTAGAGTGCTTGCCTTGCATGCATGAGGCCCTGGGTTCGATTCCTCAGCACCACATAAGCAAAAAGAAAAAAGCTGGAAGTGGCGCTGTGGCTCAAGTGGTAGAGTGCTAGCCTTGAGCTGAAGAGCTGAGGGACAGCGCCCAGGCCCAGAGTTCAAGCCCCACGACTGGACCCTTCCCTCCCCCCCCCAAAAAAGAATTTTACGGTCTTGAGTTAATCAGTGTGGGTTATAGAAGTTCAGTAGTAATAATACAATCAGCATCAGCAGGTGTTTGAGCCATTGTCATGTGTAATGTGTGTGTGTATTCTTTACTAGAATTCCAAGTTGTTGTTACTAGAATTCCAAGATGTTCCAATTAGTTGTCTTAGTCATTTCATCCCTCTCCATAACCCTAGGAGCAGATAATGTTTTCATCACCATTTTATAGTTAAGAAAAAAATCAAGGCACAGAGAAGGCAGGAAATGTATTCAAAGCCATGTAGCTAGAATACATACTGTATTGATTTTGCAGTTCTAATCGATTACTTCTGAATTGATTAAATTTTATATTATTAGACTATTGAAATGTCTCTCAAATAAACAACGCATTATTTTTAATTTTTGGGATTTAGATTTGAAGGAGCATGGGTAATAAATAATCTTCAGTGTAAAAATGGGTAGACCTACTGGGATTATAGGTAAGTCAACTTGAAATACGTATCTTAAAGGAACTAAAGCAATTCTTTTTTTTTTTTTTTTTTTTTTTGGGTCCGGTCATGGGGCCTGAACTCTGGGCCTGGGCGCTGTCCCTCAGCTCTTCAGCTTAAGGCTAGCGCTCTACCACTTTGAGCCACAGTGCCACTTCTGGCTTTTTTCTTTTTGCTTATGTGGTTCTGAGGAATTGAACCCAGGGCCTCATGCATGCAAGGCAAGTGCTCTACTGAGCCACCTTCCCAGCCCACTAAAGCAATTCTTATTATGTGTTGTTAACAGCAATATTTTTAAAATTCAAGCACAAAAATTGATGAAGGTGCTTGTATTAGTTGACTCATGGTTTATAGATTACAGTCCATGGCTACTGGTTCCATGTTTCTGGACTTCAGTGAGCAGTACCATGGTAGAAGGAAGACATGGTAGACCAGAACTGCTCAACATGGGAAGCAGAGAAGGCTAGTAAGAGGATAGTAAGAAGATATCTTTTGGGAGCACATTCCTCCCCAGTGTCTCAGATCCTCTCCACCTTCCACAGTTCCACCCTTCCCAATAGTCTGTGCAGTGTAGTAACTCACTAAAGGTAGATCCCTCATACTTCAATCACTTCCCCAAAGCTCTGCCTCTGAACACTGCTTGCACTGGGGACCAGGCCTTCAATACATGAACCTTTTGGGGGGGATACTTTATATCCAAACCATAACTGTGATTTAACTTCTACAGAGTGCCACCATAAATTTCATATGCTTAAATGTTGTCTAGGGGGGGGGCTGGAAAGGTGGGCTCAGTGGTAGAGCGCTTGCCTTGCATGCATGAGGCCCTAGGTTCCATTCCTCAGCACCACATAAGCAAAAAGAAAAAAGCCGGAAGTGGTGCTGTGGCTCAAGTGGTAGAGCGCTAGCCTTGAGCTGAAGAGCTGAGGGACAGTGCCCAGGCCCAGAGTTCAGGCCCCACGACCGGACCCCCCCCCCAAAAAAAAATGTTGTCTAGGGAAATACTGCAGTAGCAAGAGGAGTTTTGGAAAGTTTGACTGGTATGCTGATAGGCAAGGCAAACATCTTTTTTGTTTAGTGAGCAGTGATACTAGATTGTAAAATTGTATTCTGCAAGAAAAAGGTTTGAAGTTAATAGGCATTATGTTTTTATAAGTTGGTGGACATTTTTATTGGCTAAGAAAATATGTTTTCCTGCCATTATCTTAAATTCAGAACTTTTCACCTTTTTTTTTTTTTAGTTCTCCAAAAGACATGGATGAAAATGAAATTAACCAATCCTCAATGACAAGCAGCCAATATCCCAAAGAAGCAGTAAAAAAAACGCCAAAATTCAGCACGGAATTCAGGAGGAAGTGATTCATCTAGGTTTTCCAGAAAAAGCTTCAAATTAGATTACAGACTAGAGGAAGATGTAACTAAATCGAAGAAAGGAAAAGATGGGAGATTTGTTAACCCATGGCCAACATGGAAAAATATCTCTATTCCGAATATTCTCAGATGGGTGATAATGGAGAAAGATCACAGTGGTGTTCCAGGTTCCAAAGAGGTAGTACTTGGCTTTTGTTGAGTGTGTTATATATACTCTTAATACAGATACTTCTTAGCTTTGCTGTAAACTATATTACCAGGCTATATTACCAGTTAGTTAACTGTTTTTCCCTATTGAATCATCATTTTATCTTATTTTTTAAAATTATTTTCAAATACTTGTACAAGAGGGTTTTAGTTTAACATCTTGATAAGTCATTCCTTCCTTATTTCCCCTTCTCCTACCTATCTCTTCTACCAGGCTTGTTTCCTAGTGCCACTTATATGTGTACGTTGAATATTAACACTATGTTCGCCCATCATTCCTTTTGCTGTTCATCTGCTTCCCCTCCCATTAGCCTTCATGCCCCCGTGAAGATATTTTTGTTTCCAGATGTTTATTTAGTTAACTGTTCATTTTTCAAAGGGTTACATCATAGAATCTCACTCCTGTGTATTTCTACTTTAGTCAATTCATGTTATATATATGCGTATGACTTGTATGTTTATATTTTAGACCTAACATCCATATATGAGAGAAAATATGTGTCCTTTGTCTTTCTGAGCCTTTCTTCTCTCATATGATATTTCTTTCAGATCTGTCCATTTCCCTGCCAATGACCTAATTTTAACTTCCTGATGGTGAATAAAGTTCTGTTCTGTGTGTGTACATATGTATACATATATATTCATGCTTACATAACACATTTTATTCTATTTTATTTTTTGCCAGTCCTGGGGCTTGAACTCAGGGCCTGGGCACTGTCCTTGAGCTTCTTTTGCTCAAGGCTAGCACTCTACCACTTGAGCCACAGCACCACTTCTGGCTTTTTCTGTTTATGTGGTACTGAGGAATCAAACCCAGGGCTTCATGCATGCTAGGCAAGCACTAAGCCCTACACTTTTTAAAATCCATTTATTGGTTGTAGGACTTCTAGAAGTTTTTTTAAAATAGCTTGGCTATTGTGAACATGGGCTGTGCAGGACCATTATTTTATCCTGACTTACATTCTTTTGGATAAATTAACTATGCTGTGTGTGTGTGTGTGTGTGTGTGCGCGCGTGTGTGTGTGCGTGCGCGCGCGCGCGCCAGTCTTAGAGCTTAAACACCGAGCCCGGGCCATGTCTGTAAGTTTTTTTTTCCCTCAGTGCTAGATCTCTACTACTTGAGCCATGACTCTGCTTTTGGCTTTTTAGTCATTAATTGTAGATAAGAATCCCATAGATTTCCCTGCCCAGGCTGGGTTCAAACTGTGATACTTATATCTCAGTCTCTTGAGTAGCTAGAATTATAGGCATGAGTCACCAGCATCTGGAACTATGCTTTTATGAATATGAATTAAGACCCAGGGATTAGGGGAGATAAAGTGAATAGTGTAACTCATATCCCCAGGTTCCTAGTTCAGCCTGAGCATATGTATGAATTATCACTTGTGGTCTGTATAGACAGAATGCTTCAAAGCTACAGGAAGGAAGTGATGAATTGTGACTGGTAGGATTGGAAATAGCTTCACCATTAGGCTATATTAGTTGTACAAAGGTGATGTGTTCATGTATGAATATAATGTATTTCAATCAAATTCATTCCCTTTATCATTACCTCCCCCCCAACCGTTTTTATTTCACTACCCCCCAACAGTTTTTATTACAGATCTCCTACTCATGTCTTGTTTCCTCTGTTTTTAATAAAAGCTTACAATTAGATAAAATGAAGGCTGACTTATGTTATTCAGGGATAACTATAACCCCCTACTTAAGCCTTTTAAATTACTGAAATGATAAACTGTCACTGATTCTAAAATGTTATTGTGCTATACATTGAAAATAAAAACAACAACATGGAGAATTATGTGAACATCTACTTTATTTTATTTTATTATTTTTCATGGAAGAAAAATCTTTTTTTTTTTAATTGTGAAAATACTGTGCAGAGGGGTTACAATAACATGGGCAAGATAATGAGTACATTTCTTATCAAGCATTGTAGCCTCCTCCTTTGTTTCTCCTTCCCCCCCCCCCCCCAACATCTACTTTAGATGATTAGGGCAACTCAGAATTTAGCAATTCAGGTTCTAGAAGTTGCTTTGGTTAGATCTTGGGAAGCTAGAATTTATTAAGTCAATCACAATATCAAATGATTATTTTGGAAATAATATATAGATGATAATTATATATTATGCGACATTATGGTTTGACATACTTTATCACATTATGCTATTGTTAGGTATATAAATATGAAAGTGTTTTGGAATAAACATCATTAAATTACACATTAATTATTACTCTAAATAATGAAAAAAGGTCATAACAAGCTGTATAATTTAGTTGCCTGGTCAGAAAACAATGTTTGTTTCCTTGGGCCATTCCTAATGTTTGCCTGTTCTGGGTCATGAGTGCAGATTGCCAGTTCACAGGCTGCACATTGTTCAGATGCTGTCATTGCTTTGTGCTGTTGTTGGCTCCGTGTCATTGTCTGATTGTTACTGTGAGTCGTAATCACGCATAGAGGAAAAGAGACAATTGGAGAATTTCAAGGAAGGGGAGGCATACACTTCCTGAGTTTCATTAGTTGGAGGAGGCTGTCTTAATTGTTGACTACTATACAAGTGCTCACAGAACAGTTTACTTGGAGTGTGAGAGACACACAAAACAAACTGCCATACTTGGATGGCCAAGTAGACAAGTAGGACAGCAGGACTTTAGAAACAAGGTTCAAGTTTTAGATTCTAAACTGTATGGCCTTATTATCATCACAAGCCACCAGAAAATTCTGCTATAGTTGGACTCTTCTGTGTCTCCCAAAGCCCACATGTTAGTTCCTTGCTTGATGTTAGTGGTGAAACTTTTTTTTTTATTCAGGCCTGGGGCTTAAACTTGGGGTCTATATGCTGTCCTTGAACTGTTATACTTAGGGCTGAACTAATTCTCTACTGAGCCCCAGCTCTACTTCTAGCTTTTTGGTGGCTAATTGGAGATAAAAGCCTCATGGACTTTCCTGCCTCAGGTGATTTCCAACTTGATCCTCAGATCTCAGCTGCCTGAGTAGGTAGAATTATTGGTATGAGTTACTGGTGCTCAACTTGCTAGTGGTGAAACTTTAAGAGTTGAGATACAGTGGGAAGTCTGCTGGTCTTTGGGGATGTTCCTTGAAAAGGTTAGTGGGACATTGCCCTACCACGTGCTGTCCACCATGATATGGTGCTTTGCCACAGTCCCAGAACAGCAGGGCTTACATAATCATGGACTGAAACCTCCCAAACTGTGAGCCAAAATGAACCTTTTTTATTTTGTAAGTTGATTTAGCTCATGTATTCATTATACTAATGGAAAGCTAACACCAACTCCATTTTTATTTTTATTTACACTTTGGAATATAAAAGTATGACAGACTAATCTGGGTCACTGAGATTGTTTACATGACACATCAAAATATTTAAAAATGTAAAATGCCTTCTTAGATGTATGACATTAAGAATAAGATGTTTTTTGAAAATGAGCTTTTAACAAGAAAAAATGCATGTGGATAGTCTTAATGTAGAGCTGAAAGGCTTACAAGGAAAATTATTAGTCTTCTAGGGCTGCTACCCAGGTTCTCTTACCAGAGGCAACATCTTCCAGGGCTTTAAATTGCTTCCCAGACTTTTATCTAAAGCAAAGGAATGTATGCTGTTTCTTGACATTATCTAACAGACTTCTACATTGGTTTATATTTTAACTCAATTCTATAACCCCTCTCTCAACTCTAATGCTGCTCCTTGGCTTTTCCTATTCTGCTAAAATAGATATATTAAGACTTTCTGTTTTCTTCCAAGTAGGAATTTAAAAGTACAAAACCATTTGATGGATCTTAATGCTCTGAGTATACACTGTATGGCAAAAATGTTATTACCATCAACTATAATTATTATTATTATTATTAACTGTCCTCGGGCTTGAACTCAGGGTCTGGGTACTGTCCCTGAGCTTCTTTTGCTCAAGGCTAGCACTCTACTACTTGAGCCACAGCACCACTTCTGGCTTTTTCTGTGTATGTGGCACTGAGGAGTCAAACCCAGGTCTTCATGCATGCTAGGCAAGCACTCTTACTACCAAGCCACATTCCCAGCCCCATCAACAATTAATTTAATTGGAGGTATTTTGGTAACAAAACTATCCAGTGTTCACATATGACTTAAGAATGAGTGTGTCAAATTTAAATGTTATTTATTTTTAATTAAAGAAATCTGTCTTTAGGCTAGACTGTGGCCTAGTAGAGCTCCCGCTTCACTAGCAGGAGTCCCTGGGTTCATTCCCCCCAGCACTGCCAAAAATAAAAATAAAGAAATCTGACTATAGGGCTTTACATTTCCTTAGATAGTAAAAATGTAACTCAGTTGGAAGAAGAGGATTTACTAAAGTGTTTAAATTGATCTTTTAAAAAGTATGATCTGCTGCTTGCCGGTGGCTCACGCCTATAATCCTAGCTATTCAGGAGGCTGAGATCTGAGGATCGAGGATCAAGGCCAGCCCGGAGAGGAAAGTCCATGACACTCTTATCTCCAATAAACCACCAGAAAACCAGAAGTGCTGCTGTGGCTCAAGTGGTAGAGCGCTAGCCTTGAGCTGAAGAACTGAGGGACAGAGCCCAGGCCCAGAGTTCAAGCCCCATGACCAAAAAAAAAAAAAAGTATGATCTAACAGTTTTGAACCAAATCCTTTTTATCTGTCTCATGGATACCCACAAAGTCTAAAGTATATCAAAATAAAAAATACATTAACAAAAATATGGGTTTATTTATGTTACTTGTAATAAAAATTTTAATACATGAACACCTAGATAATAATGTTTCAATCTATGTAACCATGACTTTGAATCTTTGTAGTGGTCCACTTATATAATGACTGTTGGCTAAAAGCAAACTTAGCATTCCTGAAGAATAGATCCTGAGAGATATGGTTGTAATAGGCTTTGGCTTGGAATTTCAAAATACCATACTATTCTAATAGTGGTTTAGACTGTAAAAGGTTTTCCAGAAAGCCTTTTGCTTCAGAAGGTTGTTTTAGATGGCTAAAACAGTATTTACTATCAGCAGTTAACCACCAAAGCACTTAGTAATTTGGAGTCCTTGCAGAACAACCACAACCTATACCTTAATTGCCTCCTATCTAGGATCAAAGTGGTTTATATTCCCAAAGACAACTGCATTACCATCTTTGTATGTGAAAGACAGGACATTGCTAAACTGATCTATAGGTGCCCTTTCAGTGTTTTTCTTTCTTTATTTTTAAGGAAATAGTATAAGTTGATAATTTATGCTACAAAAGTCATGATTTAGTGCAAAGAGAGATGTTTTGACTTGAGAAAATCTAGCTTCCACTCGATTAGATGTTTATATGAACTTGGCCATTTCTTAGTGATTCTTCTCTGTGTTGGTCTGGTTAGGTAAGACAGCAATAGTACCAATGCCCTTAAATACCTGGCAAAGAGTAGTGGCTGAATGGACATTAGGATTTTCCACTTTTCCCAAGAAAAGTAAAACATTAACTAGTGTACTTAATTTTGAGTCTTGGGATTTTCCCCTTTGCAGTTTTCAGAAAGGAAGACCACTAAGTTTGTTTGATCTAGCCAAGTAAATGCCAAGTAAGTGCTTGGTTTCCTCAAATAAATAAGAATCCCTTCCCACTTCCCTCCTTTTTTGTCATGCTTTTTCAAACTCTGATTAGGAAGAATCACCTCTTAAGCATCTGAAAGGTAAGGAATGAGAAGAACCTACCTCTTAAAGGGTAAGGAATGAGAAGAACCATTTATGAATTTGATTTTCTAAAGTTATCATGATGCTCCACTTCAGGTTATATATACTAAAAAAAATTAGATTGACATCTGAGATCCAAGAGCTATAAAATCTATTGTTGTTGACTTTCTGTACTGTTTCTAAGGACTGACATGCTTCTAGGGAAATACATCAGTCCAGTGAAGTGAAAATAGCCAAATGGCCACATTTAGGCCAATCTACTTATGGTATTTCAGAAGAGGGCCTTTGAAGAAATTAAATGTAGCAGTGTTCAGACTTTTTAAATTTCATTTCCCTTGTGTTTACTGTATTTGGGATTAGGATTACTATACTATAATTAAGTCAGATCTAGAAAGTAGTTAAGGATGCATTTTCAAGAGAAAAGCAAAAAGAAAAGACTTAACGAGTTTATCAAATGACTTCAGTTTTCCCAAAATAGCTTTTCTCACTATAATTGAGGTCAAAATTGGTCTGTGATGATATAATACCTCTTCTAAAAAAATTCTAACTGACTCTTTTCCTTTTTCTTTATATATACAGGAACTTGACAAAGAGCTCCCAGTGCTTAAACCATATTTTGTGAATGACCCTGAAGAAGCAGGAATGAGGGAGGCTGGCTTAAGAGTCACATGGCTGGGACATGCAACACTGATGGTGGAAATGGATGAGCTCATATTTCTTACAGATCCTATCTTTAGTTCTCGTGCTTCTCCATCACAGTACATGGGTCCAAAGCGATTTCGTCGTCCTCCGTGCACGATAAGCGAACTCCCCTCAATAGATGCAGTCCTTATCAGTCACAACCACTATGACCACCTGGACTACAGTACTGTCATCACCTTGAATGAACGATTTGGTAACGAGTTGAGGTGGTTTGTGCCATTGGGTCTCCTTGACTGGATGCAAAAATGTGGCTGTGAGAACGTGATTGAGCTGGACTGGTGGGAGGAGAATTGTGTCCCTGGTCATGATAAAGTCACTTTTGTCTTTACACCTTCCCAGCACTGGTGTAAAAGGACCCTAATAGATGATAACAAGGTTCTGTGGGGCAGCTGGTCTGTCTTGGGGCCTTGGAATCGATTTTTCTTTGCAGGAGATACTGGCTATTGCCCTGCTTTTGAAGAGATAGGGAAGAGATTTGGACCTTTTGACCTTGCAGCTATTCCTATTGGTGCTTATGAACCAAGGTTTGTAAACTGGCAAAGAAACATTTCCACCACATGCTAAGTTAACTTCAAAGCTATGATACTATGTCATTTATGATTTTAGTTCTGGGCTCAGTTTTATACGTTGATGTGGTTTGATGGGTCAGATTCAAATTGATTCTTTAAAATTTTTAAACATTTTGATCATAGTCCTTCCCACCAGATAGTTACTCAAACTCAGAAATGACATTACAAAGGAAAAGAGACCAAGATAAAGAGAAGCATCACACATCACCAGAAGTTCATATTTCATTTAAACTAAAAGTAAACTTAACAGCCAGTAATCAGGCCTAACTCTTTAAAAAAAATCAAGTAGTTGTACAAAGCAGTTGTCATTCAGCAAAGCAGTTTATGAATGCTATGCATTGGGTCAGTGTCACTCTTTTTATCACCCTGTCCCTCCCTCACAGGCCCAGCCCTCCAGACCTAACTTTCCTTCCTTTCACAGGGAGGATTTTTTTCCTATGTAATTACTTTTCTCTCCATAATTGGGATGCATTAATTCCATTTGTCTTGAGTGAGAAAATGAGGAGTTGGCTTATAGCATGAGTCTCTTTGATGGTCTTATTTCAGTATAAAATGTATCCCGTGGTGAGATTGTTTTACGCCCAATTCACTCTCCAGTGTGGTATATACTTCACATATTTTTAGAGCCACACCATCATTGGACAATGCTTTTACAGATAATTACAGGACATTTCAGGTAAGCCTATAAGCAAAAGAGCCAGTGGGTTTTTTCTTAATGCATAGAGAAATCAGATAAATCTGATCTTCTATTTCCATCTGATGCTATAGTTGTTAACCTTTTAAGTTCACTAAAACCATTTTTCTTGTCTTTACTAACTTTATCATTTTCAGCATTTTGCTAGTTTCCTTAAGGCAGGGGTAGATATTTACCTTTGTTTGGTTCCTGATTATTTACTACAATTAACATAAGTCAATATTAGTACAGTACACTTTTTTGCCTTAGTATTAGAAATATATATATATATATATATATATATATATATATATATATATATTTGCTTTGGAAGGTGTCAACTATTTATTTGGGAGGATTCAAATAGGTGCTGTATTTGATGACTTCATAAACTTTGTGTTGTTTAATCATCATAGCATCCTTATAGGGTGGGTCTAAATTTATACCTATAGACTGGAAATGGAAGCTCAGAGAATTTATAGAAACTTTCTGGAGGCATTCCCAGACTGCAGGAGCTGGGAGTTACATGAGGCCCTGTGCCTCACAGAGCCCTTGTTGTTTTCAAGGCTTTGCAGTCTCAGGACTTCATTGTCTTTAATCATTCACTCAGTAGCTCACTCTTCTGCCTGACCAAACACCTCTCTGTTCAGTTTTATGATTTTTAAAATTCTAGGGATAGTAATAGGACATTTTGCTCCCAATCTTTAAAGTTTGTACACTAGGCTTTTTTTTTCTTTTCTGAGAAGGGTTGCTATGTAGCCCCTACTTGTTTCACACTTAGGAACTTCTTTAGAGTGCTAGGATCATAGGCATGTACCACTATGCTTGGCATTACACACTAAGGTTGGTTTCCTTACTACTTTAGCAAGTTCAAGAAGAAACTATTTCTGCAGATAGAATTGGAGTTTGAGTTTCTAATCAGTTTGTTTGATTCATTCCTAAGATTGTAAAATATTTGCCTTTCAAAATAAGAATGCATCATTAGTAAAAACCAAAATGTACACCAATTTTTTACAAAGATGAGTTTTGTTTGAGACTCAGTTATTTACATACAAAATTTTTGCTTTTATCCCCTTCAGTGGAAAAGTGAACTAAAGGGAGATGTTTTTGCCTACTGTGAATGTGCTTTTGCTAACCAGGTTTTGCTTTATGTTCAGAATCTTTTTATTTTTTCAGTTAAGTCTTGATTTGGGCCTCCAAACCTGGTTTCTAGCTATTTCTCATAATCGATTGTGCTCTGTCCCAGAAATTTTCAATAGTAGGTATACATTGAGCTTATATGGGGGGCTTAGAAAGACCTTAATGCCATGTCTCAACCCAGAATAATCAGATTCATTAAAGGCACGGGCTGGGCAGCAGTATTTACTAAAAGTTCTCCAGATGAGTCTGAAGTGAATTCAGTGGCTGAAAAATAGTTAACATGTTGCTGTTTCTGTAGGCAATTCAACTTTATTCTTAAGTGTGTTGCTAAAATAAGTGAGTTGCAAATAAAGGGATAGGGAGAGAAGTAGAAAACAACTACTCTACCAGGTTCTGGAGGCTCATGCCTGTATTGATAACTACTCAGGATACTGAGATTGAGGATTGTGGTTCAAATCCAGCCTGGGCAAGAAAGTCTGGGACTCTTATTTCCAGTTAATCGGCAAACCCAGAAGTTGAGCTGTGGTTCAAGTGGTAGAGTGCTAACCGTGAGCAAAAAAAAAAGCTCAGAAACAGTGGCTTAGGCCCAGTATTCAAGCCCCAGTACCAGTACAATAACAAAACAACAACAAAAAATAACCACACTGAGATGGTGCTTGTTTCTCAGATGTCCATAGTTCTGGTGCAGAATCTTAAAAGTGGGTTAGATAAAGCAGTAAGTAGAATTTGGAGTATACTCAAAGGTCAGAATTAACAAAATTGCTGTGTTTCATCAGGTGGTTTATGAAATACCAACATGTCAACCCAGAAGATGCTGTAAGGATTCACATTGATGTTCAAGCAAAGAAATCTGTGGCAATTCATTGGGGAACTTTTGCCTTAGCAAACGAGGTAAGTTTATAATAAAAATAGACTTAATTATATATTTGATCAATGGAAGGATTTTGAGCAAGCTTCCTACCATGCCCCCCAGCCCTTTTGCTTTCTGTAATTTGTTTTCAGGTAGATTTTGGATCTTAACTTGACTGGTGCTGGCCTTGAATTAGGATGCTTCTTCCTCTACCTTCTAAGTAGTTGGGATTATAGGTGTACAGTAAATCTTGATTTTGTTTGCTTTGTACTAGGTATTGGGTTGATTGCTAGACTAAAGCAGAAGAGCTGATTTTTCCTTGAAAGAGTTGAACCTTAGAACTCTGCTGCTAACTTGAGTGCTCAGATCAAGGATAGGATAGTAAAGCTGTCTCTTCTTTTTTTGGATCCAAATGCTGCCATAACCAAAATTTGTAAAGAGATGTTGGATCTTGGCTTTTACATTGATTTCTGTGGCATCCTCCATATTACAGGGCCTCTGTGCCAGTGTTTTTGTATTTTAGCCTTCTCTGTCCATCTCTTCCTAAATGCAGTTTGTTTCAAAATTACCTAATATATTCCCTGCCATTTCCTAATGAGATTGCCATTCTGTAACATTATAACCGGGAGGTCCTGATGTATCAACTCTTAGCCATATTGCCAGAGAATGGGATGATGGGGTGAATAAATGAATAAATGGGAGTTAGAAAGAATGCATGAGAGAAGGAACAGGTGAATGAGAGAAAGATAGAGGGAGAGAATGAGTATGAGAGTTTGGGTTAGAGCAAGATTGAGAGTGGTCTCTCAGTTGTAATCTGCTATATTTGGTAACAATTTCTTACTCTGTGTATGTGTGTGTCTGTATATGTATGTGTGAATGTTCTGTATGTATTTCATACATGTTATCAGTGGCTTAGATGAAGTAATAGTATTTTGCTAATCCTGTGCAAAGAAAGAAATGAAGATTTTTACCTTAAGTGAGTTGTGTTCTTTACTGATATGGAGAATCATTGAGAATTATTGTGAATTACTTTGGGAGAACTACTCAATTCTATAATCCTAGCAATTTGGGAGACAGAGGTCAGGGCCTGAGATTACAGACTAGTCAAAAAAATATTTTTCAAGACTCTATCTTCACCAATGGCCAGGCACAGTGATGAACCAAAGGACATGGGACGAACAAAAAGGATCATGGTCCAGTGTGGCTTAGGTATAAAGTGAGACTCTATCTTGAAATAATCAATGCAAAAAAGGTCTGAAGTTTAAGCTCTTAATATAATTCAAAAAATTACTCTTAACTGGGAGTATAAGCACGTAATACAATCCCAGCACTAAGGGAGGCTGAGACATGGAGATTGAGAGTTCAAAGCCAGTCTGGAGAACATAGCAAGAACGTATCTCAAAAATAAAATAACAAAAAGGAATTATTCTTGTTATAAATCTAAACTCTGCTGGGTGCCAGTGGCTCACGCCTGTAATCCTAACTACTCAGGAGGCTGAGATCTGAGGATCATGGTTCAAAGCCAGCCCTGGCGGGAAAGTCCTCAGACTCCTATATCCAATAAACCACTAGAAAACCAGTAGTGTCGCTGTAGAGCACTAGCCTTGAGCTGAAGAGTGCAGGGACTGCGCCCAAGCCCAGAGTTCAAGCCCACGACTGACAAAAAAAAAATTTTTTTTTTAAACTCCACTTGCTTAATTCATTAACTTATTTTTGAGACAGTCTTTCCCTGAAGCTCAATCTGGCCTTGAACTTGGAACTCTCCTGCCTTAGCCTCCTAAGTGCTGGGATTATGGGTATATGATACAATACCTATGAGTTTGCTCAATTATAAAGTTGGTGAGATTTTCAGAAATGTTTTGTCTATTATTTCTAAACAATTTGCACATAAGCAAATTGTTCACTACAGTATAATCAGAATAAAGTACATAACAACTCTAAAATTATGTATGTATATACATGAGTATGTGTATATGTATATATGTATATTCTGCTCAGTCAAAAGCCTTTCTCACCTAATTCCAATGTTATCTTCTAGATGGTCATAATTTGCCAAAAATTTAAGCTATTTAAAAAAAACTCGGGCTAGGAAGGTGGCTCAGTGGTAGAGTCCTTGCTTTGCATGTACAATGCCCTGAGTTTGATTCCTCAGTACCACATAAGTGGAAAAAGCTGGAAATGGCACTATAGTTCAAATGATAGAGCGCTAGCCTTGAGCTGAAGAGTTGAGGGACAACTGCCAGACCCAGAGTTTAAGCCCCATGACTGACAAAATCAAATCAAAACAAGACAAAACAAAAAAATTCAGAAGGATATTGCCTTTTTAATCAGAAGGATATTACGTCTTTAGTCTGTTTCAGCAGATTAAAGATAAAGAACCCTGGACTGGAGTCAAGCCAAATGCTGGTGGTTCATGATAGCTATTTAGGAAGCTGAGATTTGAGGACTGGGGTTCAAAGCCAGTTTAGTCAGGAAAGTCCATGCAACAATGAACCAACAATGAAACTGGAAGTGGAGTTATGGCTCAAGGCCAGCTTTGAGCAAAAAAGCTAAGAGACAATGCCCAGATTCTGAATTTAAGTCCATGTACTGATGTGCATGCAGATGTGTGCATGCTTGCATGCACACGCATGCATGGGCACACACACACACACACACACACACACACACACACACACACACACACACACACACACACACACACACACAGGGTCTACTCCCAGCTAGAACATCAAAAGCCATTCTAGATCCACACAAATCATGCACCATAATAAAGTTAAAGCTCAGCAAAGAAATGATCAGTGTATCATGATTGTGAGTTTGTTTTGTTGGCGAAACAATGGTGAAATTTGGTTAAACAAATTGAACAAAAGTTATTTTTCAATGGGAAAGAATTTCATCATTTTTTTTCTCCTGATACTATGGCCGGGGCATAGTTCCTCTATCACTTGAGCCATAGCTCCATTTGCAGCTTTTTTTGTGGTTAATTGGAGATAAGGGGTAAGTCTTACGGACTTTTCCTGCCTGGGCTGGCTTCAATCCAGGATTCTCAGATCTCAGCCTCCTGAGTAGCTAGGATTACAGGTGTGAGCCACCAGCACCTGGTGAAATCTTTAAAAAAAAAAAAACAACAAATTTAAGGGCTGGGAAGGTAGCTCAGTGGTAGAGCGCTTGCCTTGCATGCATGAGGCCCTGGGTTCCATTGCTCGGCACCACATAAGCAAAAAGAAAAAAAGCCGGAAGTGGTGTTGTGGCTCAAGTGGTAGAGTGCTAGCCTTGAGCTGAAGAGCTGAGGGACAGTGCCCATGACCGGACACCCCCCCCAAAAAAAAAAAAACTTAAAACATTTTTTGGGTTTAGGCTGTCAATTTCTATTCTTATATATAATTTACATACTAATCATCTATTACTCTTTTCTATTTTACAAAATATACAATATTTTCTATATGTATAAAATATAGCATAGACACTTGTTGCTTATATTAGTTTGAACTCATTTGAAACATTCCATCAACAATATGTATTGTTATGTAAAATTTTTGTTTTCTTTTTGTCCTTTGCCAGCATTACTTAGAGCCTCCTGTGAAACTGCGTGAAGCTCTAGAAAGATATGGACTTCAGACTGAAGATTTTTTTGTCCTGAAGCATGGAGAATCAAGATACTTAAATACAGATGATAAAACTTTGAATAAATAGGAAAATAGATGAATTTTATTGGAAAGGTATCAGTTGGATAATTTTGAAAACAAAATGACTAAGAAATTCATGAATATTATGACTTTTTATGTTTGGAAACAACCTCTTCATGTATGGTGTATGTTTTGTATATAAGTTGCTTACAAATATGATGAACAGCTTTATATAAACTATGAAAGATTTTAGGGGTGGAATTATTATTTTGGCAATGTAGATTTGAGAAATCTTATATCAATGATATAAGTATTATAATAGATATTCACTTTTTACTAAAACATTATACTTTAGTGGTAGAATTTTTCCAGGTTATAAAGTATTAAATGTTTGTTTTCCTTTCTTTAGGGTCTTATAGAAGATGTCAGGTTGTCTATCTTCCTAGATTTTTTTCAGAGGTCTTCATCCCTACCTCTTTCTTACATTTATGTTATAGCAAATGATAAAATTAACTCTTATGTGCTTATAAACCTGGCAGTTCTTGCTTACTGAAGATGACCTTGTAGGCTTTATAGTGACACACAAGTATAATCTCAGCACTAGGGAGGCCTAGGCAGAAGAATTCAAGAGCAATCTGAGCTACATGGAGCAATTTTATCTAAAAAAAGAAAAAAAGACTGTATGTTAAATATTAAGTGACTTATTGTTAAGCACTAAAAATATGCATTTGGGCTAAGTTATATTTAAGGACAATTTTTTATTGTGGTAAAATGTATTACGTAAAATTTTAGCAAAGTAGAAAATGTGTACAGCTTTTTGGTGATATTGTATTTACAACTTGTACAAACATGAACACCATAAACTTAAAGTTTTAAGAAAGAATATTCTACTACCCATCCATAGTGCCCAAATTAAAATTCACTGATATGGGCAAGGAAAGGAAAGAGCGTAATTGATGACATTCTCTAATTTTAGTCTGAAAATCAGACTTTGTGTTAAACACAAGTATAGCTAAAACGAAATATTTTTCAGAGGAGCTATAGATCCTAAATATGAATGGAATCATACGTTTTGAATTGTTTTTCTCTTCTCGGTATATACTCTTTTTTTGGTGTTTAAGGTATAATTCACTATGACAGTTAGAATTATATTTTGTTTTACATGATTCAGATGTCATATTTTTGTATTAAATGACCTTTAAATACGATTGTACCTTGTATTAAAGCCCATACGAAATGCTAGTAGCAAGGAGAGCACCTGACCCCAACTGAGCTTTGGTCTTCGGTTCTGCATTCAGTTGTTTGCTCTGAAGCTGCTTAAGGAGCAAAATGCATATGATAGTTTTGGAGGCCCTTCTATGTTTCTGGTGCTTATACACCAGTGAAATCAACTCCATATATCTAATCTATCACAGTCAAGATAGTTTTTCTATACCAAATGCCATCCAGGCAGTGCTCAATTTACACCTATGTATGCATGCCACATGTTAGCTATTAAATATGAATTTTAATCCTTCCATTATTTCATCCTGCATTTTCTGTTTAACTCGAAACAAAGTCACCTGTGCTCACTGTGCCTCAGTTTCCTCATGTGCAACAAGAGGATAATTTTGACCTACCTCCAGAATATGTGTAAATAATAAAGGGATGTTTTAAAAGCACGTTAGAAATTTAAGGGATAAAAATGATTTCTTAAGATACCACTGCCTAAAATAGGTAAGTACATTTACAAATCTAGAAGCAGGCTTAATACTTTTTGATAGTTTTGCTCCTGTTGCAGATTTACGAATACACAATAGTATACAAAAACATCAAACACTAATAGTCCCATTCCACTCATTTTGTAGAATTTGGATAGTAGTAGTCGAGATCTTTATCACAATTTAGCATTTTTTATTTAAAAAAGTTCAAATCACTTAAGGGAACAGAGTTGTTAATAGATATGCATATGTAATGTAGGTGAATGTGTGTGCTTTGGGGGCACTAAAAGCACAATTTTCCCCATAAAGTAAAATAAACAGAAAAACACTGAACAAGCACTAACTTTTTTCTTTTCTTTTTTCTTGTCGGTCGTGGGCTGAACTTTGGGCCTGGGCGCTGTCCCTCAGCTCTTCAGCTCAAAGCTAGCACTCTACCACTTGAGCCACAACACCACTTCGGGATTTTTCTGCTTATGTGGTGCTGAGGAATTGAACCCAGGGCTTCATGCATGCAAGGCAAGCACTCTACCACTGAGCTACCTTCCAAGCCCCAACTTTTATACTCCAAACAAATGTGAATCAAGATGTTAGGATTTTATTGCCCTAATACTAGGCAGCATTTTTGTATCAGATTGAAAATTCATCTCTTATCTTTGTGAAGCCAATTCTTACTTTGCTTGATGACCTTACCATTAGTTTTATATTTATATCTACTGTTTAGCTGAGGGACTTTGAAACTTCATGATCTTTTCATTAAGAAATATATAAAACTTTATATTGCTTATCATAACTACCCTATGGTGATTTCCATTTTATCTACATTCTGAAGGGTTTATGAGCAAAATGAAAACAAAGTTTGAAAAATTTCTTTTCCCTCAATGCAGTCTAGTACATTGTAATACTACATACAAAAGATATTTATATATATATGCAGATATATAAATATATATATTGTTGGAACTGGGATTTTTAACTCAGGTCTTTGTGCTTATGAGGCAAGTGCTCTACCACTGGAGCCACACCCCTAGACCTACACTGTAATATCTATTATTCAATTCTATGTTCCTTTTTGATTAGTGAACACCATGAGGAACATTTCGATCTGCCTTACTATCTAAAGAGGAAGTCAATTAAATCACACCAAATAATAGTGACAATGTGCAATAACATACATAGAACAAAAGTATTATGTACTTTTTCTATGAATTCTTCCCCTTTTCACTGTGAATACTCCCTTTTTCTCTAGCAAGTGTGATTATTTTTCAAACTAATGGTAGAGGAAAAGATACAAGTTTCAGATTCCAATATTTCTATAATACATGAAGACAAATCCTGGTTTTTAGTGTGACATATTGAACATATATTTTTATTGAATGTGCCTTTTGAGGAATATCCCAAATGTTGTGTTACCAACCCATATATAAAGTATTTTAACCATGATGCAGTGCTACTGAAGCCCACTGGGGATTTTCATTTATCATCTTACATTAAAAGCTTTGTCTACCATAAAGATGTTCTTCAAAGTTGATTTCTGTATCAGAATAACTCTGAGAACACACTTTTTTTTTGGTTCAAAGACTGTGGCTTCCTATGCAAAGTTGTGTATCCATATCCATGTATTTACAGTGGAAATCTAAACTACTTTTTCTTAAGGTTTTTTCCTTAAATATGTAAATAGCAAAGCTTCTGCTTGCACACTGATTGACTAAATGCTAAGCATGATAGGGATTATGAACGTGTGTATTACAGACCCTAACTGAATTCAAAGTACATCAAACTGTCATAGCTTATGGGATAAAAAAGATAATAACAAAGACATTTTTATGTTGTAACTTTAGTCAAAATATGGATGAAATTTAATAAAGTAATGCCAATGAAGAGAAACATATACCATCTTGTCAATATTTTTATTAAAAAGTTACCAATTTATGTTCATAGTTTAAAAAAAAGAAAAAGGGATATACATAGAAAAGTGTCCTCTATTCCCTCATTGTATTCCCAGGAGTTTACATATCAACCTAGAAATGTTTCATCCAGATAGGTATAAACATTTTTCATTTTAAAAACACATGTGAAATCATACTAGGCATGATTCTTTTACATATGCTTTTAAAAGCAACTTTATTCCATAGATGTCTTTCTACCTCAGTACTGTTAGACTTCATTCTTTCTAAAGAATAGCTTGTTATTTAACTAGTTGACTAAGTACATGGGACATCCCAGTATTCTGTACCAGGATCAATATGTAACATCTTTAAATATTGGCACAACTAATGGGATGGTGTGAGTACTAAGAAACATTTTTCCTGAAAATTTTCTATTTTTCATTGATTATAAATGAGAATATGTCAGGTGCTGTTGGCTCATGCCTGTAATTCAGGAGGTTGAGATCTGAGGATCTCTGTTTGAAACTTGTCTGAGCAGAAAAGTCCATGAGACTTTTTTTTTTTTGGGTTGGTCGTGGGGCTTGAACTCTGGGCCTGGGCACTGTCCCTCAGCTCTTCAGCTCAAGGCGAGCGCTCTACCACTTGAGCCACAGTGCCACTTCCGGTTTTCTGTGGTTTATTGGAGATAGGAGTCTCACGGTCTCTCCTGCCTGGGCTGGCTTTGAACCGCGATCCTCAGATCTCAGCCTCCTGAGTAGCTAAGATTACAGGCGTGAGCCACCAGCGCCCGGCTATCCATGAGACTCTTATCTCCAGTTAACAATCAAAAGCCAGAAAGTGCAGCTCAAGTGGGAGAGCCGTAGCCCTGATTGAAAAGCCAAGTGAGAACATGGGACCCTGAATTCAAGCCGCAGAACTGGCACACAGGGAGAAAAAAACCACCAAAACCAACACTCCAGAAACAAAACAATGATGAGAATATGTTCTAGAGACTGAAATAGACTCTTGAAAACAGTGTAGCTGGGGTGGACTTGAGAGCTTAAGTTCTCATAGCTACTGAGAGAACAAGGCCATTCCTGTGGCAGTTTGAAAACAATAAGTTAATCTTATTGTTTAATCTACTGTTACTGCAGAGGAACAACTTCAAGTCATTCCAAACAGAGGAAGGATATCAGACATAAAAAGGTCACTGCCATTTCATATTATGGAAATCACTAAAGTATCTCAGTGAATAGGTAGGAAGTAACTGCTTTCAGTAAATGCTCAATTTTCATTTGACATCAATAAAATGAATGGTCCAAAATAAACCTGAAAACCTGAAGTTAAAACAGGTTGACTATCTTATCTCAAATCATTTGGATCAGAAGCGTTCAAAGATTTTGGAGTTTGTACAGATTACCAGTTGAGCAATCCTAATCTAAAACCTCCTTATCTGAAATGTTCCAAAGTCTGAAAAACTGAGCATCATGTCAGATTAGGGATGTTCAGCCTGTACTGTATAAAAGATGGAACGTGGTGTTTCCTGTTTAAATTCAGCAGATGAAAGAAACCTTTTCTAAGGGAGATAAAGTTTCTGTGTATTAATTTTTGGACTGCATTACTTGAGAAAAATATGACTAACGAATCAAAATTTTGGAATTACTGTCACAACTTTTTCTTTCACATCCACATCATGATGATAAACTAAAGCTCTCATTTTCTGGGCGCATTCTTCTCCATATAATAGGAAAAACAATGAACCTTTAGGAAAAGGAGGCTGAATAGCTAAATGGCCTTCCATTTTGAGGCAGTTATTTATGTTGTGAAATAATGTAAGTACTCGAAGTAGAATTTCCTTTGCTACATGGCTGTCATAAAGAGAAAGGAATGATGAATCCACCTGAAAGAGGAAATAGTAAATTATCATTTTTACATCTTAAAACTGCATTTGATACTTTACATTAAAAAAAATCCCACCACAGAAAACCCTGAGTGCATACCTTAATCGTATACAGTGAGTACACCCTACATTATACAGTACGAGAAATAAGAGATTTGGTGTTAAAAATAATATTCTTTGGAACCTAGAGCACAGTCATTTATAAAAAAAAATTCCTTTCCTTTATAGAATCTACTGCAGTTTTCATGAGAATTCATTACTTCATTAAATATTTACTGCCCAGGCACAGGACTGGTAGACAGAATGGCAGACAGAGGTCCTTTATTACTGGAGCTGAGCTCCATTCTATCAACACCACTTTTTGCTTCCTTTAGAATACTTACAGTGGCTTTTAATTACCTTGTTTATGTGTCATATATTTCTGTTCATTAAACTAAGTTTTGGAAGAACAAGCAGCACCTTGTACACACTAGTGTCTTGGCACTCAGCCCGGCCTCTAGCATACCTAATCAATACTGCTATGGATATCAAGATACATATGCACAAAAGCCAAGAATAAAGATATGATGACCTAAGTATACCCAAATTGTGCAGAGAAAAAAAATGTATTCTTGTTATGGAGAATTTTTTGTTTGTGGTCAGTAATGGGGCTTGAACTCTGGGCCTGAGCGCTGTCCCTCAGCGATTCAGCTCTAGGTTAGTGCTCTACCACTTGAGCCACAGCACCACTCCTGGTTTTCTGGTGATTTATTGGAGATAAAGAGTTTCTTGGCTTTTCCTGCCCTGACTGGCTTTGAACTGTGATCTTCAGATCTCATCCTCCTAGATAGCTAGGATTACAGGCATGAGCCACCAGCACTGGTATGGAGAATTTTTTTTAATGACTTTTAAAATATGCTTGTTACAAGCTTTAAATATATATATATATATATATATATACATATATATACACACACATATATATGCAAAGAATAATAGCAGTACTAGTTTTCAGAGATAATCCCTGTGAGCATTTTTTTTGAGGGAGGTGTGTGTGTCAGTTGTGGGGCTTGAACTTGGCCCGGGCACTGTCCCTCAGTTCTTTAGCTCAAGGCGAGTGCTCTACCACTTGAGCCACAGCGCCACATTCGATTTTTCTAGTGGTTTATTGGATATAAGTATCTTACAGACTTTCCTGCTTGGGCTGGCTTTGAACCGTGATCCTCAGACCTCAGCCTGCTGAGTAGCTAGGGTTACAGGCATGAGTCACTGGTGCCCAGCTTCCAGTGAGCATTTTGAGGTGTGTGTGTGTGTGTGTGTGTGTGTGTGTGTGTGTGTGTGTGTGTGTGTGTGTGTGTGTGTGTGTGTGTGTGTGTGTGTGTATCAAAACAAATAATGTGATCTATTTACTTGGGCACTGAGTAGTCCTTCTGTCATGGCTGGGTTTTCAGACAAATTCACAAGCAGCTTCAAAACCTGAACCTGAAAAAGGAATGTTGGTTTATTTCAGACTAGCAAGCATGGATTTTCTTTTTCTCCTATCATGCTGTCTTCTCATGGTGTTCCCCTTCCAAAATTTTGCCTGTGCTTCGCATCAAGACCTGGCTCAAACTCTACCAATAAAGTCTCGCTCGCTCTCTGAACTTTTCTAATACAGGGCACTAGTCTCAGAGAAGTTATCACATGATAGTGTTCCTTATACCTTTTCCAATTACACTTCAGTCTCCACGCACAGACTTAACCCAGGGTAAATAGCCTGACATATTATTGATACGTGAAAAAATGACCCCTGGAACAACAACAACAAAAATCTCCTAAAGCTTAGCTCACTTTTAATGAAAATATGAAAAATTTTAAAGTTTGGTTACCAAAACAAACTAGATAATGTGGCCCTTTTTAGGGCCATGATAGGCTGTGATAAGTCTTTAAGGTTATCTTTTTTGTGTGTGAAAAATATTTTACAGCATTTAAATTGTTATAGGATCTAAATAATTAGCAAATAAATGATTTTTAATAAGTGAATACATAAAACACCAGCATTCTTGTCATTCCTAAAAATCAATAATAGAAATATACTAATAGAATTTACCTTTAAAGTCACATTTTTTTTTTTTTACAAAGACACTGGAAATGAGGAACAAAGGGTACTCAAGTCAGTAATACTAACAACTGTGTGACTCACCAGACCTACAAAGGAACGTATGTCTTTTATAAAAAACTTTTTTAAAAAAGGTAATAAATGTTTATTTTAGAATGTTTTTTCTTTCCCTCTCAGCACTAGGGATTGAAACTAGGGCTAGGCAAGCACCCCTAGAATGCTTTTTACTCCAGAAAAGCAGAAGGACAAAGGAAGTTCGCACATACTTCTCTTACAAAGTTTTGGTGATTTTTTTTGGTATGTATCTTATACTCTATAATTCCTTTGATAATGAACATTCTAATTATTAAGGAGAAAGATATAAGGTTTTGCTTAATCTTATTTTTACCAACTTTTACAAAACTTTACTGTTATAAAGATAATGTACAGAGAGGTTATAGTTATATAAGTCAGGTAATGAGTACATTTCTAGTTATGTAAGTCAGGTAATGAGTACATTTCTTTTTGGACAATGTTATTTCCTCCCTCTCTCCCAGTTTCTTCCTCCCATCCCCACCCATAAGTTAAACTTTTATAAAATTAATACATGGTCATAAAAGAATTCTAAATAGTGCAGAAGGGTAAAGTGAGAACAAAAGCTGGAGGCCTAGTCATTCTCCTAAGCTATATTCAGAGATCATGTTTTTCAAACAGAGACTTAACATATAAGTTGTTAAGGTTAAAAAAAAATTAAAAAGTCAAGAGATTTCTCACTCTTTGGGAGCTACTGTCAGACCCCATCTGGCCTCCACACCAACAATAAATCTTAGGAAAAAACACCCGGCTTACCATCAATGAAATGTTGGATTAAGAAAACAACAGCAGGGGCTGGGAAGGTGGCTCAGTAATAGAGCGCTTGCCTTGCATGCATGAGGCCCTGGGTTCAATTCCTCAGCATCACATAAACAGAAAAACCTGGAAGTGGTGCTGTGGATCAAGTGGTAGAGTGCTAGCCTTGAGCTGAAGAGCTGACGGACAGGCCAGGCACAGAGTTCAGGCCCCACAACCGACAAAAAAAAAAAAAAAAAAAGAAAACAACAGCAAAAGGTATGAAACAAATGAACCTGAACCTATCAGATAACCTGAATAAGTCATAAAATCCATAAAGGCTCACTAGTAGTGAGAGCAAGTATATAACAATAGGAAGAGCAATTGCTACTTAGTCTCCTGTACTAAAATATATTGCTATCTTCTGAAAAACATGAAGAAAAAAAAATAAGAGGACAACTATCATTAAACATACATACTGTATTCTGGCTTGAGCCCTCAAAAGTCTTATTATTTTTTCCCTTTTGTCACATGTGCTACCTGGTGGAGACTGGAGGACATTTAATCGAAATTGTTAGTTTCCACTATGTGTACTTAGTTCTATATTTGTTGTTACCGATCCCCTCCACCCCCCCACCCCCACCCAAATCACTATAGTATAGTGGTATCACTGCTGTAAGCAAAAAAAAATTTTTAAAGTCACTTTGGGTGTTATTTACTAAAAAATATCTAAAACACATATTCTTTCAAAAACAGATGATGGATGACTATCTAAAAGTTTACCTGCAAACTCAAACTTTAAACTCGGGGTGGGGGGTGGGGTGGGGTGTGTGTGTGTGTGTGTTGGGGTGGGGGGTGGGGTGTGTGTGTGTCGGGGTGGGGGGGTGGAGTGTGTGTGTGTCGGGGTGGGGGGTGGGGTGGGGTGTGTGTGTGTCGGGGTGGGGGGTGGGGTGGGGTGTGTGTGTGTGTGTGTGTCGGGGTGGGGGGTGGGGTGGGGTGTGTGTGTGTGTGTGTGTGTGTCGGGGTGGGGGGTGGGGTGGGGTGTGTGTGTGTCGGGGTGGGGGTGGGGTGGGGTGTGTGTGTGTGTGTGTGTGTCGGGGTGGGGGGTGGGGTGGGGTGTGTGTGTGTCGGGGTGGGGGTGGGGTGGGGTGTGTGTGTGTGTGTGTGTCGGGGTGGGGGGTGGGGTGGGGTGTGTGTGTGTCGGGGTGGGGGGTGGGGTGGGGGGTGTGTGTGTCGGGGTGGAGGGTGGGGTGGGGTGGGGTGTGTGTGTGTGTGTGTGTGTCGGGGTGGGGGGTGGGGTGGGGTGTGTGTGTGTCGGGGTGGGGGTGGGGTGGGGTGTGTGTGTGTGTGTGTGTGTGTGTGTCGGGGTGGGGGGTGGGGTGGGGTGTGTGTGTGTCGGGGTGGGGGGTGGGGTGGGGTGTGTGTGTGTCGGGGTGGGGGGGTGGGGTGGGGTGTGTGTGTGTGTGTTTTGCCAGTCCTGGGCTGGAACTCTGGGCCTGGGTGCTATTCCTGAGCCTCTTTGTGCTCAAGGTTAGCACTCTACTACTTGAGCCACAGCACCACTTCTGGCTTTTCTGATAAGTTTATTGGAGAAAAGAGATTCACTGACTTTCCTGTCTGGGCTAGCTTCCAACCTCAATCCCCAGATCTCAGCCTCCTGAGGAGCTAGGATTACAGGTGTGAGTCATCAGTACCCAGCTTAAGCTAAATTTTTATAAAAAAAAAAAAAATACTAGAATTGGTGGCTAATTTTCCAGCAGAACAAAAAACAAAAACAAAAAAATTTGTATACCATCCCAGAAAGAATGTATGGAGAAAACAAAACAAAATTAGAACATATTGTCTAAAGTCATAAATTGCAGTAAAACAGCTCATGACTGAGACAGATACAGACTCAAGGCTAGATGGCCTGGCTATGACCTTAGTCAGAATTCCTCCCAGGGTCTGGGGTTCTAAGTAAAACATCAGCAAGGGATTTTTCCTATAGCAGTCATACCACAGGATAAATACAGAAGTTTCCATGGGGCTTGAGAGTCTGGAAGTCATTTTGCTCCACTAGAGAGAGAGAAAATGTTGATGGGAACTTGCCTACTGGGAAATGACTGGAGAGGAGGCAAGACTGGTAAAAGGCACTCTTTTTTTTTTTTCTTTTCTTTTGTGTGTGTACATTTTTTATTGTAGAAATGCTGTACTGAGGGGTTACAGTTACATGAGCAAGGTAAATGAGTACATTTCCTATTGAGCATTGTTGCTGCCTCCTTTTTTAGAAAAGATACTCTTAAGAATATTCTCCTTTTGTCTCACTGTGTGTGAATGCCTAGAGATCTGTATAATTTACTATGTCCCAGTGGTTTTTTCATTTTTCTTTTTTTAAATCATCCGGTGTCTTAACTTGTAGATTTATAGGCACATTCTAGCTACCACCAATGGGGGAAACCATGCAATCTGAGAACATAAAGGTGCAATACCTATATGCATCTGCTCATATAAAATAGTATTTAACGAAATGGACTTCAGGAAATAAAAATGAGGTTTTTACGTTGTTGCTGTTTTTGTTTTCTTTTCCTTTTGTTCTTTTATCTGTCTTTGGGAGAGTAAAAAGGGGGCTCTGAAATAGTGGGACAAAGGGTGAACAAAGGCAGTATGGTACTTACTATACAACTTGTGGGTGGGGATGGGAAGGAAAAACTTGGAGAAAGCAAGGGAAAGGGGTGACACTGTTCAAAAAGAAAGGTATTCTTTATCTGACTTATGTAACTGTAACCTCTGTGTATATCACCTTTAAAATATCAATTTAAAAATGCATAAAATAATTAAAAATTACAAAGTTAAGAAGGCATGAATTGTTTTAAAAAAAAGACTCTTTTTTTTTTAAATTTTATTTGTGAACATACTGTACAGAGGAGTTACAGTTACATGGGCAGGATAATGTGTACATTTCTTACCAAGCATTGCAGCCTCCTCCTTTGTTTACCCTTCACATCCCTTCCCAGCCTCCCCCCTCCCCCCCTAATCCCAATCCAAAAAAAAGACTCTTACATTTACTTTTGAATGCTTCTGTGATGTCTTGGACCAGATCTAATGAATTTGGCTATAGAAATAGCCAACCAGATATACTTCAGAAACAGAAGCAAGATTATGGGGAGGGTCTCCTGATAATCCCATCCTGATAACCTCAGAAATCATTGCAGCAACTCAATTATTATGGCTTAATATTTGTTCCTTCTAAAAGGCTCATGAATTTTTCTGTAACTGTCCCAATGAACACAGACTATTATGTTAAAATCTGAAAACAATAAAAATTATCAGAACCTTTAATTAGTCTTTATTCAATTTTGTGCTACTTTATAAATGCACTAAGAATGCACATTAATAGGATTTACTCAAGGAACTTTCTTTCAGAGGTATCTTCAGAAATCCTACTTAATCCACTCTGTTGCCTCCTTCATCTGTGTAATGACTGCATGAACAAAGAGCCATCCTTCATATGCCTTATTCTGTTCACTTACTAGTGTGTAAAAGTGGTTTTTAAAGATTTGCAACAGGGGCTGGGAAAGTAGCTCAGTGGTAGAGTGCTTGCCTTGCATGCATGAGGTCCTGGGTTCGATTCCTTAGCACCACATAAGTAGAAAAAGCCAGAAGTGGCGCAGTGGCTCAAGTGGTAGAGTGCTATCCTTGAGCTGAAGAGCTCAGGGACAGCACCCAGGCCCCAGAACGGACAAAAGAAAGAAAGAAAAAATAATGTATTTTCTTGGGTCCATGTGAGGGTTTTTAATTAATAAATACTGACTACATTTAATCCTTTCTGAAGGCCATAAATTTAAAGATAGATAGCATGGAAATTCAATTTCAATTGTAATAAGCTTGATACAATAGCTCTTTGACTTTTAATTCATAACTGCTTTACCTCCTTCCTACCTTTGTGCTTCCATCTCCAGTAAGTAACACATGGAAAAGGTCAGCAATGGAGCGGCTCAGCATGTGCTGGTGGTCATTGGTAACAGTCATATTTGTTAACAACCTTAGCCCAGCCAGCTGCACAGCAGAGTTCAGGGGACCAGAGAAGATATCCTCACAGACTTGATTGATATATATCTGAAGGACAAAGAAGAGAAAATTAATCATCTTAGAGTCTTCTCAAACTTTTATTAAACAGTCACTTCTCTGCACAGTAGACTAGGGCAATTGTTCAGGATTGATTAGCTCCTCTAAAATATAATGGCATTCGACCCTCAAATTTGGTGATCTTTTAAAACCTGCCTTTTGTTAATACCTGCCATTAGGCTGGGCATTTTAGAAATATACTCCACTCAATCCAGAAGACAACTCTAAAAGAGGTAGGTGTTATGATGTCCATCTCACAACTAAAGACTTTGAAGTTTTTTAGGAGCTTGAGTTCCCTGTGCAATGTCAGCTAGCAGGTGAGATGTAATATCCAAGTTCTAGGAATCATGCTCTCAACACCAGTGGCCTCCCTTTTGTAGGAGTTTTCAAACTCAATCCACCTTTCTGCTTCTACTTTTCTAGGCACATCAGCATCAGGGGGAAGATGTAGGAGACCATTTTGTATCACATAAGAATCTCAACTACAGAGTCTGGGGTGCTACATCATGTCACAAATAATAAGGGACAATGTAAAATAGAATTCTTTGGACTTCTATCAAAAGTAAGTAAAGGAAAAAATATTTGCCCAAGGTGATTCTTATTTACCTACATATGATCTACTCATTATTCTTTTTATTTTTTAATTATCTTTAAGTAGTTGTGAAAAGGGTTTCAATTCAAGATGTCAGTTTATGAGTACATTATAATCTTGATCAGTGTCACCACTTCCATTAATCTTGTGCAGATCTACTCCCTATTATTACTGACCACTGGCAAAAAATAATGAACTGCCTGCAGTACTCCTATTTCAAATAGGAGAAAACTCAATCAGTATGATGAAAAGTTTCTTGACATCATATTTTCTATATCTGGTTATGATCTTTCTAGCTTGGATGAGTTGTTTCACAGATATTGGTACTTTCCTGATTAGAAAAAGAAAACTCTTAAATGTCACCAAAAGTTCTCACTGTTAAGAAAAATTTTCCTAATTTAAAGTGCTAAGAATGATTAACTGTCCAATAAACCATTATTTAAAAAAAACAGAAAAAAATATATCCATGTTATCAACATAGTAATGCAATAGCAATAAGCAAAAAATGATAAAACTTTAGTATAGGTTTAAGATCTAAATTACATTTAGAAGCCAACTGGCTCTCTTCGATTATATATCTATCCCTTAAAAAATAGCATTTCTTTAGTTCTTTATAAGTCATATCTTTTGTAAGATCTAATGTCTCTTTGTTTTGTCAGTCCTGGGGCATGAACTCAGGACCTGGGCACTGTCTCTGAGCCCCTTTTGCTCAAGGCTACCACTCTTACTTACTACTTGAGCCACAGCACCTCATCTGGCTTTTCCATTTATTTATTTATTTATTTATATTTATTTTTTTGGTCCTGAATTCTTTTGGGGCCTGAACTCTGGGCCTGGGCGCTGTTCCTCAGCTCAAGGCTCAAGGCTAGCACTCTACCACTTGAGCCACAGCGCCACTTCTGGCTTTTTTTTTTTTTTTTTCTGCTTATGTGGTGCTGAGGAATGGAACCCAGGGCCTCATCCATGCAAGGCAAGCGCTCTACCACTGAGCCACCTTCCTAGTCCACTTTTCCTTTTTATGTGGTACTGAGGAATTGAACCCAGAGCTTCATGCATGCTAGGCAAACACTCTACCACTAAGCCATATTCACAGACTGATACTAATGTCTTTCAAAGCATTTACTTTCAAAGTGTTCTGAACATCCTTTTTATATGAATCTTTTCACTGTTTCACTTCTAGTAATAAGATTACCACAGAGCTAACACAGTTATTCGACCTCATATTATTCCTTTCTTTTGGAATTCTCTTCTTCAACTACACTTATAGAAACAGACATTCTGAAGAGCCAGATTGGACTCCTCCCCCTCCCTTTTACAGAAACTTTGGGTAGGATTTTTCTATGCACTCAACAGTGTTTTACCTATCTTTCTTTAAATTGCTTCATCATGTTCTGCCTTGAACCACTAGTATTTGTGATTAGTTTTATCCCTCCTCACCTTTCTTAGAGAATGAATAGTACCCTATTATGTCTATTCTCTGTACCACAGAGCAGGAGTTCAATAAACATAGAATTGAATTGATATACTTTTAAAAAATATATTGAGGCTTTCAGATGTTATCTAATCTGCCTTGGTTTGTTTAACACTCTTAAACGAAACCTCAGTTATATACTGTACTTCTTATTGACTAATTTAGTCCCTTCTATCTCTGCCTTGTTTAGCATTTTTTAAAATAGTAATTATTGTCTAGGAGTTTGTTAACGTTTCAGTAACCATCTTTTTGTCATCTTCCAATATACAGGAAATCCGATGTATTTTTAATATTTCAAACTACTTACCTTTATTTTGATTTGATTTTCAACATTTACACTAAGGTTATTTAGTGCATTTAAAGCTTTCTCTTTAATGCTGTGGTTTGGATTGTTGATTTTGTCTCCAACAATTGGAATACCTCCCAATTCACGAATAATAGCCTAAGAGGGAAACAAAAAAGCCAGGAGTATAACTTCAATATGCAGCTCCATCTTGTGGCCAAAGGCATACAAAAGAAGCAAGCACAAGCAAAATTAAAGGTCAGAGTGAGAGCTGACAAGCTAGACAACCTGAATGGATTCAGGTATGTCTAAATCAATGCCATTCTTAGATGCCCAGGTTAGCTATCTCAACATTTTCCTCTTTTTGGCTTAAAATAATTACAATTAGTAACTGAAAGAGTTGAATAATAATTAAACATTTTCAATATCTTCTTAAAAATGGCTAAAATTTACAATAAACTTTGTCACTATAAAAAGCACTCCATCATAAATTCAAAATTTGCATTTAGGACAATGTTAACAAAGGACACTAGCTAGAAAAACATTACAAAAATGGCTTTACTTGTTCTCCACAGGAAAGGAAGTGGTGAGAAGGAACTATTCAAATTAGCCTTTTTAGTCTTCATGTTATCTCTACTTGGGGAAGCCATTCACATTCACTTGGTGGTTGTTAGTGTGGTCTAGGGACCACCTGCATCAGAATCACACTGATAAGATCTGTTACACAATTTAAAGTTGTAGCATTAATAGATTTAAATAAAAGGCAATATACTGCTAATTGCTGAATAGATACAGTTATGAATAAGATGTTGCTGATGACCAGCTTCATAAGGAATCTGGAAACATATAGATAATGTTCCTGTGAGGCTGTGATTTGCCTAAGTAATTACAGTAATAACTACAGTTAGTAACTGAAACATGTAAGCATAAGTTAGCCATATCTGTATAGATGAGGAAAGTGGGGTTCTGCAAGGTTAACTTACACAGAGTAATAATCGCTCCTAGTGTGTAAAAATTATTATAAGGAGCTTGTTTGCTGAATGAGGGTACTTACTTGGTTAGCTGAAAAGGCTGCACTGTTACCCAGAGTGACTAAGGCTTTTTCAATGAGTACAGGATCCTCAGTTGACTCAAGAAGGTAAAGGAGTTTTTTAAGTTGTTCAGCATTTAGGACATCATCATAGGAAGCATTCGTTAAGTCTTCTGCATAAAAGAATAATTAAAATTCATTGGAAATCAGTTAGTTAATTTTTTCTATTTTTACTTTTGTTTTTATTACCTTTAATTTAACCCAAGTAAGCATTCGAAGACATCTAGGTCTGGGCCATCTTCCCAATTACTTGTACAGAAATCTCTGACCCAGAGAAATGCAAAACATTAAGTTTTGCAAGGATAGACTGTATATGTGTATGTACACGCAGGTGCGTGCATGCGTGCGTGCACAACATGCCAGCCAATGCTGGGGCTTGTACCCAGGGCCTGTGCCCTGTCCCTCTGCTTTTCACTAAAGCTGCCACTTGAGCCACAGCTCCATTTCCAGCTTGTGCTGGTTAACTGGAGATAAGAGTTTCCTAAACTTTGCCTGTCTGGGTTGACTTCTAAAAGCAATCCTGAGACCTCAGCCTCCCCAGTAGCTAAGGGTAAAGGCATGAGCAGAGCTAGATACATATTTATATATTTTTCCCATGTGACAGAAAGGGAAGAACCTTTCTTCTTTTTCTTAAAACATTTCTTTAGGGGCTGGGAAAGTGGCTCAGTGGTAGAGCGCTTGCCTTACATGCTTGAGGCCCTGAGTTCAATTCCTCAGCACCACATAAGCAGAAAAAAAAAAAGCCGGAAGTGGCGTTGTGGCTCAAGTGGTAGAGTGCTAGCCTTAAGCTCAAGAGCTGAGGGACAGTGCCCAGGCCCAGAGTTCAGACCCCACAACCAGACCCAAAAAAAAAAAAAAAAAAATTTTTTTCTTTAAGCAAGCTTGTCATTATACATTCTTTTATCCTTTGATATAAATGTTGTTTTTAAGTAAAAGTCAGTTTTATAATCCAAAAATGAGTGTCTTTCTCAAGTGCTTGGAAGCCATCTCTCAGTGTAAAGATAAAGACCCAGGCTCATATCTGTGGGATCTTAGCCTAGGAATCTGCTTCCCTGGTTTAACTATGTACTTTACTTATCATAGAGCTGTCTTATCTTTCCTCTAGATAACATAAATGCCCCAATTGCCAGTGAATTAGAGGCCAGCAATCTATAACAATGTATTGTCAAGTCCTCTTATTAAAGCCACTTTGCTATTTACTTGATTTGCATCTGCCAGGCCTACACAGAGAGGTGAGAATTTTGTTTTGGACACCCATTGCCTGTGATGCTGTAGGCAAAATGGCTTAATGCCTGTTCCGTAATAAAACTGTTTGATTCTCTACCTTTGCGGAGGGCAGGTTTCTGGTTGGCTGATTTCATTTTTACTTGTTTTTCTAAGCTTCCATGACCTGAAACATCTTTCAGAACATTCAGCAAAACGTCAGAATTGTGAATGTGCCAATCATTTGGTCAGATCTATTGGACTTGTCTGCCGTGAGGGGTGTGTCTCCTGTAGACAATGGTTCCAGTTTCCAGCACCACACACACACACACACACACACACACACACACACACACACGAGAGATATAAGAGATGCTGGGCCACGAGGTTCAAGGTGTCTCCCCCTGTTGAGGCTGGGTAAACTGCAGGCAGAACTGCCCCTGTGGCAACCTTTCAATCACTCAGGCGCACGAATAATTTCATCATTGGCTCCAGCCTCTCCCCTCCCTCGACCAAGCCCACAACCCTCCCACAATCTCGGACATCCCTTTGCCAACACAAAGGCCCAGAGCAAGCTTTCAAGGGAGAGGTCATCAGCAAGCCTTTGAGAAGAAACCTCATCCACCGCTTTGACGTCCAGCGCAGGCAGAAGAGTTTGGGGCGATCTTTTTCATCCCAGGAGTGGTGCCGGTCGGGGGCTCTGGACCCCACATTCGCACAGGTCCGGGGTCGATCGCTCTCTCCACCCCGCCCGCTCCGCCGCTTATTTCACTGCGAGCACCGAGGAGCCACCGAGCCCCTCCCTGGCCCGGGCTGGCCTCGGTGCCCGTCCCCGTCCACCTGCCCCGTCCACCTGCCCCGTCCACCTGCCGGGCGGCCGCCACCCCGCCCCGCCTCACCTGCAGACCGCGAGGGGCGCAGCCCACGGCCCCGGCCGCCTCGCCGCGGGCCCCGCGTCAGCCTGTAGATGCAGTAGCAGGCGCCGGCGCCGAGGACCAGGCCCGCCGCCACCCAGCCCGCGTCGCGGGCGCCACCCATGCTGCTGCCAGGCAGGGCGCGGCGGAGACGCCGCGGGAGGCTGGAGGGATCGACGCTGAAGTCTCCCGCACGCGAAGGACCCGCGGAGGCAGAATGAAGACCTCACCTAGAGAAAGGAAAGGAGGGGCAGAACTCCAGTCCACGGAAGCCGCCCGGCTCAGATCCTGAGCCCTCTCACTCTTCCCGCCCAGTCCCAGCAGCTTCCTCCAGGGGCGCTGGTTCGGCGGGAAGCTCAGACTGCGCCGTCGCAGGAGGCTCGCCCCGCCCACGGCCCCGCCCCTCACCGCGGAATGCAGTGCAGGTAGTCTCTTCCCCCGTCCCCAAACACACACGGTTGCCAGGCAACGCCCGGAAGCGGGCGGTCTTCTCGAAGCCGCGCGACTGCTGTCCAGAGGCAAAGTGCAGATGCTCAGTCCGGCCTCTGGCCATGGCTTCGCTACGCACTGCCACCCCCAGGCTCAGGAACTACTTTAAGGACAACTACATTCCTCAGGTCTGCGAGGTACTGGAGTCTCGTGGGTCGAGAGTGGGGAGTGGAAGGGACGGGAGATCGAGAAGGAGAGGAAGGAGGGAAGAGCACAAGGAAAGGCGGATTCAGATTTGGGTACCGCGGATACAGAGCATCACAGACCCAGGAGTGAAGGTGGCTGAAGCGGAAGGTCGAGGGTGATAGACCCAGGGGCAGAGCTGCTATGAACTGTGCTTATTACCTTGCTCATGTAACTGTAACCCCTCCTTACAATTAAAAATGTTAAGAGTACATGTAGGCCAACCTGGAAGGTTTGGACAAGCGGAGGAAGTGCCCGAGTGACAGGAGAATGAGAGTGTAGTATGGTGAAGAGTGTCAGCGCTCTCTCTCTCTCTCTCTCTCTCTCTCTCTCTCTCTCTCTCTCTCTCTCTCCTTTCCCCTCTCCCAGCCCTGACATAAGGACCTGAAGTGGTTCTGTGGAAAAGAAATCTCACAATCAGCATTGTTTTGGGGTAAGAGGAATCTCCCAGGCAGGCAGACAATATACAGGTGAATTGTAGGCTTTGTTGTTTTAGGTGTAGAAAGCAGAGAAGTTTGTGGAAAATAGTTGAGAAGAACTTGCTCTGGGTTACTTCATGTACAGAACCGCACGTTTAGGTCATTCATAGCCTTGACCACCTTCATTTTATAAAGCAATGGGTTTGACACTGCCCACTTCAAAATGACACTGGAAATAGCCTGATACCCAGACATGCTTTTGACAGCTCTGTGCCTTGAATAACCACTTGGAGTTTGTGCAAGTTCTTAGCTCCTACAGAGATTTTTTTTCCTCTTTCATCTCTATTAGCTCTCTGGGCCTCCAGGACAGCTTTTCTGAAGAATACACCCTCTTTAATTCTAAGGATTACCTTAGCTTATTTTATAAAAGGTAATGTGTTAATTTGTGTTTATAAATATAATATAAATATGAATAATATGTTTATAAAGTAATGAGAGTAATATGTGTACTTAAAATTGGAACAAAAAGGATATGTGGCTGGGCGTCTATAATCCTAGCTACTCAGGAGGCTGAGATCTGAGGATCTTGGTTCAAAGCCAGCCCAGGGAAGGAAAGTCCATGAGACTCTTACTCTTACTCAGAAAACTGGAAGTGGTGCTGTGGCTCAAGTGGTAGAGTGCTAACTTTGAGGTAAAGAGCTGAGTGGACAGCACCGAGGCCCAGAGTTCAAGCCCCATGACCGACAAAAAGAAAAAAAATCTGTGTTGCAGTGTCAAATAACGTTAGTAAGAGTTGGTGAGTGCATTCCAATGAAATTTATGCAGCTTATGGATATGTTGTAATGCAATAAATTCTGGCACTTTGGAAAGAAATCAGTGTTTCTGTCTTTCTATATTTCTGACACATCACCACGAGGTATGTGTGGTGGGCTGGGTATAAAAAGAATGAGGGAGAGAGAGCTCATAGATCTGTGCACAGAAAGAGAAGAGTGTAGATGAGGGTATGAACTTTCCTATTCAATTGGAAGAATGATTTAGTTTAGCTTCTATTCTTTTGATGGTAATTTAGAAGTATTTATCAAAATGTGAAATACTAGTGTTCCTTGCCTAAGATTTTATCCTGAGGGGTCCTTCACTCACTTTCATTGCCACATTACCAGAAGGTGTAAAAGAACAGTTTTTCCAGCAACCCACAAACCATCTTAAACTCATTACTCAGTCCTCCTGATACTATTAAAGTGAATTCCATTCTTCCCAGTATCTCTTTTATTTATATGACTCAATTTCTCAGGAATTAATCTCTCCTAAAATCCACCTCCTAGGGCTGAGAGTGTGACTCAAATGATAGAGTGCTTGCCTAATGGGCCTTGAATTCAAACTCTAGTACCACCAAAAAATTTTTATAAAAAGATAAACTAGTTTGAAATCCATCTACTGGAAGTTTTGATAAATAAAGTCTTCATGAGATTTTCTTGTATATTTAACCTCTTCTGAACTTCACATATGTGTCATCAGTAAAACCTGTTTTTCACTTACAGTATCATTTCCATGCAAAGTTCTTTATTTAGTGAAGTCTGACTTTAAAAATACTAGTTTTGCATGGCCCACTAAGCTAACAATATGTTGATTGATTTAGAACCAATCATTTTCAAATACTCTCCCCCCTCCCCCAATTCTTTCACTCCTGGGAATCATGAATATGCCTTTTTTAAATAAAAAAAGCAAACTTCATTTTGCATACCTCTTTTGTTCTGTTCCCATTTTTTTTCATTCACTGCTCTCAATTTTACTAATTCTGTTTTATGCTATGATCTGTTCTGTAAATTAATTTCAGACAATATATCTTAGAGTGCTAATTGATCCCCCCCCCCCCCCCCCCGCCCCCGTCGGTCATGGGGCTGGCTTGAACTCTGGGCTTGGGCGCTCTCTCTGCACTCTTCAGCTCAAGGCGAGTGCTCTACTGCTAGAGCCACAGTGCCACTTCAGGTGAGAGCCACTGGCACCCAGATCATTGATTCTTTTAAATGCATTTGGGCAAGTAAAAGAATCCATCGTTCCATCCATTTTGTAACCTTTTTTTTCTTAACATGTTTATTATTGTTATTTTAAAGTCATTACCCCATACTCGAAATATCTAGATTATCTGTGGGTCTACTTTATTTATTTATTTGTTTTTTGTTGATCATGATTCTTGAACTCTGGGCCTTGGTGCTGTCCTTGAGCTCTTCAGCTCAAAGTGAGTGCTCTACCACTTGAGCCACAGCTCCACTTCAGGTTTCCCAGTGGTTTACTGGAGATAAGAGTCTGATGGATTTTCTTGTCTGGGCTGGCTCTGAACCTCAATCCTCAGATCTCAGCCTCCTGAGTAGTTAGGATTATAGACATGAGCCACCAGTGCCCGGCTATTGTTTATTTTTATAATTGATTATTGATCAATTTCTTGACTCTGAACATATCAAGTAAGAGTGATTTTATTGCATATTGTATAGAAATAGACACTTCACATGATGTATTCCTTCCTTCCCTTTCTTCCTCCTCCCTTTCTTTCCTCCTCCTCCCTCCTTTCTCCCTCTCTTCCCCTTTCTTTTCTTTACTCCCCTACTACTGAGTCTGACTCAGTATCTTGAACTTGCTTGGCTTGCTTACTTGGTTTGTCCTCTATCTACTTGTGCCTGTATCCACATACTTCCAGCTTTTTGCTCATTATTCTGGAGATAGAGTCTCAAGGACTTTTATGCCTCAACTAGCTTCAAACTTTCAGATCTCAGACTTCTGAGTAAGCTAGGATTACAGAGGTGAAACATTGGCAAGTAGATTTCCTTTCTAAAGAGGCAGTGATCTCTATACAGGCTGAGCTGAACTGCGCTGTCCCTGCATTTCAGGCATTTAGACTCAGTCCATGTCTGGCTTGTCCCATTTCTTGGGCAAAGCTCCTCTGGGCTTAAGATTGAGATGGTATCAGGTCTTCAAGTCTCCTTACTCTGAAAGACTGCAAGTGATACAGGTGTTTTTTCTCTAATTTTAAAAATTGTTATTATAAAGGTAATGTCCAGGGCTGGGAAGTTGGCTCAGTGGTAGAGCGCTTGCCCTGCATGCCTGAGGCCCTAGGTTCAATTCCTCAGCACCACATAAGCAAAAAAAGAAAAAGTGGTGCTGTGGCTCAAGTGGTAGGGCACTAGCCTTGAGCTGAAGAGCTGAGGGACAGCGCTCAGGCCCAGAGTTCAGGCCCCATGACCGGACCAAAAAAAAAAAAAAAAAAAAGGTAATGTCCACCCTTCACAGGTTTTTGAGCTTAACTGTTCAGCTTTCTTCCCCAACTACAGCTTTAAATTCTATCAAAAGTAGAGGATTAAGAGAGGCTGACTTGGTGGGGAAAAAAGGCCATGGGAACAATGATGAAGATACAGGGCACACAGGGCTGTTATTCTCACTAACTTGCAGTAACCCATCTTCATTTTAGAAGAACCCCCTGAAATGCCCATGCAGGGCTTCCATGCCTCCGAGGCCCTGCTCATGACTGCTGCTTCCTTTGCTGACCATCACTCATGGTTACTCTACCCCAGCCAAATTCCTTCCTTCCTTCTTTCCTTCCTTCCTCTCTTCCTACCATCTAGCCTTCCTTCCTCCTTTCACGAGAATATGGGCTAACACAGGTCAGGCATGGTGTAGGAATGTCTAATGATAGACATTCGTTGAGTGAATAAATGAATCAAGAAGGAAGCAAAGAAGAAAGAAAGGAAAAAAGAGAAAAAAATCCCTGCTACTTTGGAGATCATTGTTAGAAGTGCTCAAGAAAAGATGGACGTATTGAAACATGCTATCATTTCTAATAATCTTGTGGCATTTCATTATATTAACAAAGCAAAAATTTCAAAAGCAAAATAGAGAGAGCCTTAAGAATCAATACAAAATTGTAACCCCTCTACATGGTATTTTCACAGTAAAAAAAAAGACATAAAAACAAAGAAAAATCAATACAATTTGTATATTCTTAAAAAATTACAAGTGTGGGAGGACAAATGTTCATATGTAATTGTTTATAAATGAGCTTTTGAATTTAGTAATTGTTAAAATTTTCCTTTGAGCTAAAGGTCCGATGGTAACTCTGTCTTTTTCCAAGTGCCTTTATTTCTACCTTGAAGAAAGTAAGAAGAAGTCAGAAAGAATAACTTATGAAATAATAAAAACGTATGTACTCCACAGTACAAAACCACTGAGAATAAT